AGCAGAAGAAGAAGAAGAAGAAGAAGCCCACACACACGCACACTCAAAATAATAAAATTAGATACTAATTAGATATCCCCACAATTTCAAAGCGTTCTCAGCGTGTTTCCGGCTTCTGCAGCACGCGTGTGCCGAAAGTATTTACAATTTGTCATGATCTCAATAAAAACAATTTAAATTATTTTGTCTAAATGTAATATTATTGAAATTATTTAAAACGAACTTACAAAATACACAGGAGTTCTTGAAGTTCCGCAATTAAGTTCTTGTAATTTATTAACAATTTCGATCAATATTACTTGTGTATAATTATTACTATTATTATTATTATTAATTCGCAATACGGTAAACCAAATTTAAACTTTATTCAATAAAACAATGTGTACATTGACAATCGTTGGAAAGGAAAAATCGAAAAGTAGTTAAACTTAAACAAAAACAAAGACAACACAAACTGTGCATATTTCCTTAAATGAAACTAAAAATTGTATAACTAACACAACACACAATGAAATTATGAAAAAAACAAAAACAAAACAAACAAAACAAAACAAGTTTATACTGTACTTTTTAGCAAAGGAAGACAAAATCTTCAAAAAAACAAACACAAAAAAAAAAAAAAAACAAAATACAAATGTAAAGTAAAAAATGTAAAAGCTTTTTATTTGCTTACGGGGGGGAGGAGGCTCTAGAAAGCGTAATTTGGACGAAGCGTCAAAAGAAAAGCAAGAAAAAAAATGATGAGTCAGCGGAACTGAAGCGGTCCTAGGCAACCGTTTGCTACAGTGGAGCGTCAGTAAAACGAACTCTTTAAACAAAAACTATGCTGCGCGTGAGTTATATCTGCAAGGAACTAACTGGCAAAGTGGAAAGTGGAACTATATAGAGAGCTGAGTGAGTCGTCACGGTAAGTCCATAAATGATTTCTAGATTATTTACTTTATTTTTTTAAGTTAACACAAATAACGGCAAAATAAGCTCAAATATTTGTTGCTTTATGCAGGCAATGAATACATGTTATAGTTTTCTCTTCCCTCTTTAGTTTCAATATTCGCCTTAGTGAGGCCTTACCGTACACAGGCACACATACACGTGCACATTGTGCTACATTGTTTCCAATGCTGCCTGCAGACATTTGAGAAAATGCTTTCCAGTTGTAATTTGTTGCTTGTGGAGTGGGCACTTAACATTAGATTGGCTGTCACTTCCGGCAGGCCTTAGGCGAGCGTCGACGTCGACGTCGGCGTCGGTTTGATGATGATTGATGCTGCCAAAATAGCGGTCGCTCAGCTGGCGGCTCAGGCGCCCAATATTCACATAGTGTGTTTAAGTTTTGTGATTGTGTGCGTGCATGCAACTATCTAGTGTCTATGTGTGTGTGTGTATGTAGACTGCACAGTCGCGACTTTTCAATTGGAAGTGAATGCATGTAGATATGCGCATGCATGTGTTTGTTTGCAGTCATACATATACGCAGTACATAGTTTTGTGTTTATGCAATAATGGCATTTCGCAAAAGTAAATTACACGCTGTGCATTTAGTAACAAGCATGTCCAACATACTATTTGCCCACTTAAGTATGTAGCTGGCCGGGCATGGTTATTAGCATGCAATTTTAAGATTTTTAATGTCGGCGTAGCATTCACAATGCAGTCACACATGCGCGTACGCGTGCACGCATACATGCGCAAAATCATAGAAACTCGGCGAAACACACACACAGAGAGAGAGAGAGAGAGCGGGAGGCAGCGAGCGTGAGAGATGTATGTATGCATGTAGTTGTGCACACAGTCGCGTTGGCCGCATTTTCGCCTGCGCCTTTTTGCATTTGGCCTCGCAATAAATTTAAAGCGCACATAGCAAAAACAACAACAACAACAACAATTTATGGCGACGCTGGCTGCGTTGATTTGTTGCCTTTTTCGCTTTGCCGTAACGGTAAAGCCAAGCTCTGGTGCCATTAAAATTGTGCAGCCACAGGCACACACACACGCACACATACTTGTGCTGTTGTCGTTTTTCTATTTCGCGGCTTTCACATTTTTGCAACTGCGCACCAGAAAACGGCATCTGTAGAAAAAAATAAGCGCAATAAATTATGGCAAATGGGTGGAAAGGGGCAGCACTGCGTTTTTCATTAATCATCATTAATGTCAGAGATCGTTCAGCGAGTGCAATGCCTGGAAAAGCGTGAAAAGCGAGCCAAGGCCGTGAGTCATGCACGCAGACTCCTGGACACAATGGAAATCAATCAACCCTGCAGCAAATTGCCTGCTGTTGTAAGCCCCCCACCCATTCACCTAGCCAAAGGCAGCACTGTCTCGCTCTAACTCTCTCTCTCTCTCTCTCTCTCTCTCTCTCTCTCTCTTTTCTTGAAGCTGCGTGTCTGCTGCGTTTGGACGTGAGGTCACGCTGAGCAATTGGCAGCCCTTTGGTTTGCTCTAATCTGCTGACCAAGTTGTGGCCAGCCGCTTCGCATGATTTCCTTTGGTCTGGTCTGGTCTGGTCTGGGCCTGGCTTGCGCAATTTTAAAACTGAGCTGAGCCAATTTGCGGCAAATCAACGGCAACACGGCATGCAAAGCACTTTGGGTTTTCAGTGTTCATTTCGTTGATTGTTCCCACAATTTTCGTACAATGCTGGAAAATGTACGTGCCTCGTTCGTTGTCCCCTGGCCTCGCATTGTTCGCTTTCTTGCTTTTGTTGTTACTGTAATTACCTAAAAAAAAAACTCTTAAAAAAAGTAACAATAAAAAAGGCCAACAGCAATGAGAAAATTCTTTTCAAATGGCACTTCAAGGCAAGGCTGGGGCGCTGTCAGCGAAGTCAGCAGCTTGAAAGATCTTCACAGATCTGGACGCAAATCGTTGAGCGCTGTAATCGTGCACACACACACACACACACGCACACACACACACACACACACAATAATGAGGTGTAGGAGAGAAGATGTAGCATAAGAGATACGCCAGAAGATCACGTACATGTACCGCATGAAATGGGGGCGTCATTTACATGGCGGAGCTTAGAGCGTGACCCCAACAACGGATCACAGCGGCAACAACAACAACAACAGACAGGATCGTGAGCGTGTGAATCAAAAATGCAATGCATGATGTACAACTATGCAGAAGAAAGTCAGGTGTACATCATCTAAATAAAAGAACCTCTCTCTTTGGGTTCGGCTTGTCAATTTACCCTTCAATTCAGCCAGGTTAAATTTAAATTACACAATTCCAATGATGTACAAACTATGTACAAGACAGACAGATCCAGTCAGGTGTACATCATCTAAAGAAAAACCTCTATACTTACGTTGGACTTGTCAATTTACACTTCCATACACCCAGGCTTAATTTTTTACTATTTTTCAAATTTTAACTAAGCAATTCAAATGATGTACAACTATGTACGATACAGACAGATCAAGTCAGGTGTACATCATCCATAATAAAAACCTCTCTCTTTGGGTTCGGTTTGTCAAGTAAGACTTCCATATAGCCAGGTTGACTTTCTTAAATTTAAACTACATAATTCTAATGATGTACAACTATGTACAATACATACAAAATATGCTTGGATAAATACTCTGCTTTGGGGCATATGTAAATATAATTATAGATATTACCTTGCAAGCATTTCCTTGCACGGGAGGCCCTAGGTCTATATCATTATCTTCATCTTCATCTTTATCATCATCATCATCATCATCATCATCTTCATCATCATCTTCATCAACATCATCTTCATCTTCATCTTCATATTCATCTTCATCATCATCTTCATCTTTATATTCATCTTCATCTTCATCATCATCTTCATCAACATCTTCATCTTCATCTTCATCTTCATCTTCATCTTCATCTTCATCTTCATCTTCATCTTCATCTTCATCTTCATCTTCATCTTCATCAACATTAACATCATCATCATCATCATCATCTTCATCTTCATCTTTATATTCATCTTCATCTTCATCATCATCTTCATCAACATCTTCATCTTCATCAACATCAACATTAACATCATCATCATCATCATCATCATCATCTTCATCTTCATCTTCATCTTCATCTTCATCTTCATCTTCATTTTCATTTTCATTTTCATCTACATCTTCATCTTCATCTTCATCTTCATCTTCATCTTCATCTTCATCTTCATCTTCATTTTCATTTTCATCTTCATCTTCATCTTCATCTTCATCTTCATCTTCATCTTTATATTCATCTTCATCTTCATCTTCAATTTCATCTTCATCATCATCATCATCACCATCATCATCATCATTTTGCCATGGTGAGGTCTTTCGTATGGTTTTCTTGAGGTATGCCCAGGTTGATAAAGTTAACAATGCTTAGTCATGCTCGCGCTGACGCATATGCTTAGTTCAGCAACTACTTAATCTAGTAAACGGTTTTTGATTAAATTCTCCAAGCTTTGGCTCAATTAACAGGTGCACAGAAACGTCTGCAGGTATGTAAAGACAGAACGGAGCCGAGGTGTGACAGGTGTGACATATATGTAAGGTAGGAACTGAACAGCAGATCTTGTCCTGGATAAGGGATATATGGATACTACTTGGCCTTAAAATAAAGACCAGTTCCATAAACGAAATAATCCAATCTGTTTTTCCAATCTGTTTTGTCGTATCAATAAATAGTCATTGCCAATATTGTTTCTACAATCAATTATCAAGCCCCTATTAAACTTATTTGGCTTATCAAAATATTGCGCCAGGTAGCCATTAGCCTAATGAACCCTCGAGATGGCTATCAATGGGAGCGGGAAGCCCTGACCTTGACCAAGCAATCAGTTAATACGTATGTAAATATGTGTGCACACCTGTGTAACTGTGTGTAACTGGGTGTGCGAGTGTGTGTGTGCTTATAAATAGTGCCAGGCAATGCTGCGCCACAACATTGCGGTAATTTGTGCGCTTAGTCATGGTCGGCAGCCAGGTGAGCGTCTCCACGCTCTCCGCGCGCATCTTGCGCGGCGCCTATTGCTATGCCACCATGCTGGGATTCATCTGTTTTGGCATCAAGGGCAATCGAGCGGATGGCTGCCTGGTTGCCCGGAATCGCTACTGGTACAAGTGGTTCTGTCTGCTGTCGCGTATCTTCATCTGTGGCATTTATGCCAGCATTAGCCTTGATTATATCAAGAGACTGGATAATCCGCATTTGGTGATACTCTCGTGGATCCGGCTGGTCTGCAGTCTGATCTGCGCCTGCGTCATACTGCTAATGCAGTTCTGGTTTGGCCAGCAGGTGTTGTGCGTGGTCAACAGCTATTTCCGGCTGTTCCGAAAGGTAAACGCGCTGCCCGGCTGCCAGGATCAGGGCTTCGGTGGCAAGCGCGAGCTCAGTCTACTGATCTTCAAGCTGATTTGCCTGCTGAACGAGCTCTTCTGCGAGTTACCCATGTTCTTTACCGATCTCAATCTGCGACTCTTTGCCACCCTGCTCGTGGATATCTACATCAGCGTGAATTCCACCATGATCGGACACATGTGCTTTGTGGGCTACCTCAGCGTGGGCGCCCTCTACGCCCGCGTCAACCGTTATGTGCGCCAGCAGCTGCGGCGCCAGCTGCGCAGCCTGGAGCAGCACGATGGCTACCAGGCCAGTCGGCGGCAGCTGAGAGCCGCCGGCTACCGGCTGGACGAGTGTCTGGGCATCTACGATGAGATTCAGCGTGTGGGCATCGCCTTTCATCGCCTCATAGAGCTGCCGCTGTGCCTCATTCTGCTCTTCGCCTTCCTCAGCATGACCCTGGTCTCCTACTTCATCATGTTGAACAGATTCCGTGATGCCACCCTCTGGCTGCTTGTGGTCAGACTCTTCGTCGACGTGGTCCTGCTGACACTGGCCATTCATGGAGCCAGCAGCAGCTCGCGAGTGATTCGCAGGCTCAGCCTGGAGAATTGCTACGTGAGTGAACGCAACGATTGGGACATGAAGGTGAGTTCCTGGGCAGGTGTGACTGCTGCTCAAGCTTGGTTTTGGGCTAAGAGTGAGCATTGAGCCGGGGTTTTGGGACATTGGACCCACATTGGGGGGAAAACTGTGAACAAAATGCAAAAACATCAAGAAATTGTTCGTGCCCGAGCGTCGGACTAACAAGCGAGCAGTCGCTGGATCAACTCTTGACTAAAGTTGATTATTTTGATATTTGTTTATTTAATTTGATATTATTTAAAAAAGGTACACAAGATTTATCTAAAAAATAATAAGGAAAGGAAAAGGAAACGACGTGTATATGTCTGATTACAAATTGTACTACAAATTCTGTGAAATATTCTTCTTCATCGATTGCAGCTGGAGATGTTCTTGAGTCGCTTGAATTTTTACGAGTTTCGAGTACGTCCATTCGGACTCTTTGAGATATCCAACGAGCTGATATTGGTCTTTCTGTCCGGCCTGGTCACGTATCTCACCTACATATTGCAGTATGGCATGCAAACGAATCAGATTTGAAATAAAATCGGACCTTTTAGTCCGATTATATATTATTTGAACTGGACACCAGGAGCTGTCGGAGAGAACTGAAATGGTTTGACCAGACGCAGGAACTACTTAAATAATAATAATAATAATAATAATAATAATAATAATAATAATAATAATAATAATAATAATAAAAATAATAATAATAATAGCAACAATAATAATAATAATAATAATAATAATAATATTAATAATAATAATTATAATAATAATAATAATAATAATAATAATAATAATAATAATAATAATAATAAAAATAATAATAATAATAGCAACAATAATAATAATAATAATAATGATAATAATAATAATAATAATAATAATAATAATAATAATAATAATAATAATAATAATAATAATAATAATAATAATAGTAATAATAATAACAATAACAATAATAATAATAATAATAATAATAATAATAATAATAATAATAATAATAATAATAATAATAACAATAACAATAATAATGATAATAATAATAATAATAATAATAATAATAATAATAATAATAATAATAATAATAATAATAATAATAATAGTAATAATAATAACAATAACAATAATGATAACAATTAATAAATCTTTAATACTTATCGACGCATTTGTGGCTTTGCTCGCAGCTAATGCCAAACACAGACCATCTAATGCTAAAGCTAATATGCTAATAGGCTAATGTCATTAGGTTATTTTTATAGAAATAATATATATTATTTGCTTTTTGATTGTTATCGAGCTTCTTGACAAATAAACCTGCAAGTGTGATAATCATATAGGTCATATTTGTTTAAACAATAACAAATCTTGTCTAGAATCTCGGGTAATATTCCAGCTCCAATTAGCTTATTGAAGCCCATTGATACACATCAGAATAGGTATACCTATAAGTATAATTGCCAGCCCGTTTGGCTAGACACTTGTGGCCAAGTCATGATTGGAACTCGTCGCCGGCTGCGGGCCTCCTCGGTCTCGGCGGGCATCCTGCGCGGCGCTTTGAGGTACGCCACATTCATGGGTGTCATCAGTTTTGGCGTGAAGTGGAATCGCAGCCAGCGGCGTCTGGTGGCCAAGGATTGGCTCTGGTACAAATGGTTTTGCCTCCTGACGCGAGTGCTCATGTGTGGCCTCAACTTCGTCTTGTATTATGACTTCATCTTTGTGCTGAATATGTCCCATTTGAAGGTAATCGTCATCTTTCGCATGCTCATCTGCATGGTCTGCGCTGCGGTCACCCTGCTGCTGCAGTTCTGGCATGGACAGCGTGTGCTTCGCGTGGTCAACAGCTTTCTGCGGCTCTATCAGCGCGTCGAGGCGCTGCCCGGCTGCCGGGATGTGGGCTTTGGGGGCAGGTGGGCGCTGTGCCTGCTGCTCGGCAAGGTGATCTGTATGCTGCACGAGCTCGTCTGCATGATTCCGCCAATGCTCGAGGAGCTTGAGTTTTATTTTGTGCTGAGCACAATTTGCGATACATACAATACCGTGAATGCGGCCATTATCCTGAACACCTGCTTCGTGGGCTACCTCAGTCTGGGCATCATCTACGACCGGCTGAACGGCTATGTGCGGCACGAGCTGCGCCAACAGCTCGGCGAGCTGGGCGACGCCGCCAGCCGTATGCAGCTGGAGGCGGCTGGGCAACGCCTGGACGAGTGCCTGGCCATCTACGATGAGCTGCACCAGGTGGGCCGATCGTTCCATCAGCTCATCGAGTTGCCGCTCTGCATCATACTCATGTTTGGCTTTGTCAGCATGGCGCTGGTTGCCTTATTCATCATGTTGAACCTATTCGACGGCATTAGCCTGTGGGTCATGGAGGTCAAGATGTTGCTGGACATTTTGCTGCTGACCCTCGTGGTGCATGGGGCAAGCAGCAGCTCGCGTGTGATACGCAGGCTCAGCCTGGAGAATTACTACGTCAGCGAGCACAAGGATTGGCACAGGAAGGTGAGTAGGAGGATTTCAGTCGGACTCAAGCTCTATTTAACTGTTCCCATTTCTCGCAGCTGGAAATGTTTTTGAACCGACTGAACTATAACGAATTTCCGGTGCGTCCTTTGGGCCTATTCGAGGTGTCCAACGAGCTGATCTTGGTCTTTCTGTCCGGCCTGGTCACCTATCTCACCTACATATTGCAGTACAGCCGGCAGTGGGAGAATCTCTAGCCGTTCGTCACGCTGTGGGCGCACTTATTAACAAACCCTCCACACACGCACACGTGCACACACACACCTGTCCTGCGGTCGCATGTAGAAATCCGTTTGGCAGGACACCAGCTTAACGTTTTTCTGTCTCACTTTTCCCATGAAAGTTGGCGCATAAATTATATTCATGCGCAAGTATTGCGGCATTCGGTATGCACTTTTTGCCGTGGAGCAGAAAATTTATGCAGCTACCGCACGGCCGGCTGGACAGTTCACGCTAAAAGCGCATAAAAACAAGGCCGAGGCCGTCGCTCTAATTAGCATAGGTAGCCGTCCAGGTAAAGGTAAAGGTAGAGGTAAGGGCACAGATAAAGGTGCACTTGTTCGCTGCACTTGTTCCAGCTCTCGAAAAGGGCTGCGTCAGCGTTGGCGATAATCAAAAAAAAGAAAACCAGAAAAAAAAAAACAACAATTACTTGGCCGAGCCGAAGATTGAATACCCTTGCAGACATAAAGTAGGCTTATCTAACCGGAAATCGTTTTTGCATATGTAAATCTATTAAACAATTACATTAAATGAAATGTTGTGAGCTTCAATTATTACATGAAATTATTCTATGCTATTCAGAAGATATAATGATCAAGTCTGGTTAATATATTATCTATTTAGCCTTGTTGCATATTTTCGTGTTTGAAATTTTATCCAATCATTTATAAGACATTTAAGATAAAGACAGGTTAGATATCATTAGGTCAATTTTTTGTATCGCATATAAAATACATATATAGATATCCGATTATAACTCTTTCCCTTATTCATTTGGTAGAGATCACCTGGCATGCTTAATGCATATTATAATAATAAAAACAAAATTTCCTATTAATATTATAAAGTGATACAACCAGAATAGAGTTATACTACTGTTCCAAGTTTCTTACTTCAATTCTTAGAAATCAATGCAATCCATGAAAAGTTAAAATATATCCCATTGTCAAATTTAGGTTTAAAGTTATGTGTTACATAGATATTTGAAAATTATGTTAAAGTTTTTCGATTTAAGAACTCAAAGTTGAAAAACTTTCATCCACATTTCACATTCAAGCGGGGTGGATTTTGCGAAACGTGTGAAATACGTATGAAGTACGTATGAAATGAATTTTCACAAAGATTTTCAAAAATGAGTTAGAAACCGATCTCAACTCAAAAAATAGCTGCTCGCAGATTATATTACATTATATATAAATAAAATTGGAGATGTCTCGCATAGAGCATGACAAATCAAACTGAACTCTCGCAGATGTTAGGGTATAGAAATCAAATTGTTGGTTGGTGACGAACATTATCTCGGCATTGACAGAAGGAGAACTGTGACGATGCCTGCGGCCTGAGACTGAGAGTGAGACTGAGAGAGGGGAACCGGGACTGAAGACGGCACTGGGATTGGGATCAGTATTTGGGGGCCCGTTGCGATCGGGCGCAGCTCCAGCTGCGTGCTTTTTGTGTTTATGCGTGCCGTGTAAACGGCAAGATAATCAGAAAACGTAGCTTTGGCATTGCTCAAATTATTGTACTTTATATCAAAAGGTAACAAAACAGAACGCAGACCGGGTTACAGTCAGTTTTCCCATGATTGTTCTGCTGGCAGCGACTGGGACCGGGCTGGCGGTAATTATGGGTCACTTCTTATGTAGTATGTGCTGCTCTCTCTCTCTCTCTCTCTCTCACACACACTCTTTTCTTTCCACCTGCAATTATCATACACACACACACACTCACACGGGTACAGGTATATTAAAGTTTGGGCTAAAAGGCGAAAGATACTATAAAAAAATTAATGATGCTTTCAACATTTCACTAGACAAAAGCCCACGGCCTCATGTTGAAGTTGTAGCCTCAAGTGCAGGTAACTCCTCACACCTGGTAACTGGGCAACAAAATGTACAGCTACTTGGCGAACAACAGCAACAAGAGCGTCAAGAATATTGCCGATAAAACGAACGGATGATGAAAATATCATCATTACGAAAGCCCGAAAGCCCTAAGTCAATCAAGATTATGTACATCTATATATACATCCATCCATATGGAGGAACAGTAGCCGCAAGAAGGTAGACGGCAGACGGTAGCCTCGAGACAGTAGCCGGCAGTTGGCTGAGTGAGAGAAAGATCCAAGGTATTGCCGGTGGAGGCAACACAACATCCGATGATAACTTATTAGCCATTAGCAGCCAAAGAAGACGGAAGGCTCAGCAAGTTTTGCACCATGAACATCTCATTGTTCAAATATGATTACTTTGATGTAACATTTGCCCAAAAGCTCATTAGCTGCCACATATTCCGGCCTCAATTATGAACACGAATTGTTACAACATTCCAATAACATACTTAACTAATGTCAATGCAAACAGAACGAATGCATTACATTAGGCATATACATTAGGCAAATACATGCACGTATATAATGAATAGACACATGCTGCATATATAAATATATTTAAGTATTCAGTTTGTTCAACTTAATTTCTTAATTGACAATTATACATAAAAGCTTAACGCAAACTGATTAAAGAGATTATATAACTTAAGGGAAGAGATTATCTAACATGGGAGTATATAGATTTGAATATACAAAAGAAGGTATAGACTATAAAACTGAATAGTTGACTGCTTTAGATATATACTGATTATAGGCGGAATACTTAAAAAATCGAACATAAGAAATCTTTAACTATTTTTAAGCGCTTTAAATTTATAATTTCTATTGCGCCTATTGGGATTATTCTTAAGCCTCCAACAGAGCCAACTGCATACAAATAAATATGCACGCATGTACTGCATGTACATATGTACATGTTCGTATAGCTAAATATGTGCTCGATTTGTATTTATGGAACTAGTTAATTAAAAACAACTTTGATTTAATGCAAATTGTTTTCACCTTTTACAGCCTGAAGGCCTTCTAAGGCATTTGTGTAACTGCAAAGCTGCATATACGCATGCATGTATACATACGCATGCGCATGCATACATACATGTACATACATTTACATGCAACTGTTGAGGCTGAAACCTCAAGCCCAAAGTCAAAAGAATTGGCACGAGCTGAGCACACGTCGTCAGCGTCGGCGTCGTCGATGTCGTCGCCGTTGTTTGTGCTCCATGGGCTTGGATGTGACTTGGGCTGGGGCTGCCGCTGTGTACAGTTCTGGCGCGGCATTTTATGGCTGCACACATGGCGAATGCAGAATGCTCGACTGGCTTCGGGGGAACTTGTTTTGTGGGCCGATGGGCGCGAGCGCGCGTAGGCGCTGCAACAGGCGCATCAGCAGCATCGGTTGCGCGGCAGCGCGTGTGCGATGTGCCAACATCTGGAGCTGGACCAGTTTGAAGCCAGCAACGCATCCGCAGCACAGTAGCCAACGGGCCAGGTACACACACACACACACACACACACACACACACACACACACACACACACACACACATACAAACATACATACGGACAGACACATTTGAGCCCGGGCGCAAGATAATCGATGTATACTAATTATTTGCTTTGCCTGCAACTGTTTGTCATGCTCTGCGCTGCGTTTGCGTCTGCGTCTGCGCCAGCGTCTGGCACTCGTTGGTACAGCAAAAACAAAAAGCACAACAGTAGCCAGCAGAGGTCCGCAGTCCGCACTCAGAGCTGAGCTTCAGATTGTGCCTGGCTAAAATAATGGCCATCGACAGCAGCAGCAGGCGGGTTGGGGGCCGGCTGAGTCTTGGGCAAGGTTACGGACGCTGCGAGCGTTGCGTCGCGTTGCGTTCTGTTCTGTTCTGTTGTTGCAAGTCCAGGCTGGCAGCCAGGCAGCCAGGCAGGCAGGCACTTTGCACGGTAGTCAAGTTTAGACACCTTAAATACACAGGAAAGCGTCATTTAAGCGCTCGTTCCAAAAACGACAAGCACTGGGCGTGGCACAGCCCGCAGACTGCTGCATCACTATTAATTACATGGACGGGCCTCACTTTAGGCCTCACTAAATTATATATGAATGCATATTTATATACATATATACATATGTACATATATATGCTGCACTTGCATCTGCTGAGATTGAGGCTACAAGGTCAGAGCTTTGGCAGTTCTGCACAGATCGATTTCAATCAACACCCCACAAAAGCTCAGCCAAAGCTCCGACTCGCTGCGACAACAACAAACAAGTTTCTGATTGAAAGAACAAAAAAAGGTACAGTCACAAAGATTACCAACAACAGCAGCAGCAGCAGCGGCGGCGGCGGCGGCGGCGGCGGCGGCGGCGGCAGCGGCATCAGCAGCAACGCTGTTGACGTCAAAGCTTGGCAGCGTTTCGTTTGGCTTGAGCCAGCTTTTTTTGATTTGGCCGAGACGTGTGGTAAGCTTCAAGTTTGGAACAGGTTTTGATTTCGAATTTTGGAGCTGTTGTGCAAAAAGTTCAACAACTGTGCTGCTGCTGCTGCTGACGCTGACGCTGACTCTGACGCTGCCATCGCCTGCAGATGGCTGGTTGTTGATCTCGTGCTGCGGCCGCTGCCCGCAAAACAAGTAGCAAAACAGACAACGACAAACAAGCGAGCGTTGCGTAAATTACAAGCAGGCACACACACACACACGAGCATACGAACGCAAGTACGTACACAAACACACACACGCACACATATGCACAAATTAATATTATTTTTCTTTACGATCACAACGTCGACTGCGACGCTGGCCCTATTGACTCTCCCTCTCCCACGCTGATGCGCGCTCTCTTTAGGCTCTCGCGCTCTTTATCTATCGCTGTTGTGTGCTTTTTGTGGATTCCATTTGCCATAAAGTGCGTTAATTTGTTGGAAAGTGGGTCAGCACTAATTTCGGTTCATCGAACACACAAATAACAAAGCGTCCGCGTCGAGTGTGCGTGCCCTGCCCGCCACCGGAGTTCTGCGCAGCGGCCTTAGGCCCAACCGCAACCTGCCCCCTTCCCGCAGCATTGGTTTGGGTTCGCGCACCTTTCGAGTACACTACCAAATGTGGACGCGGCATGCACGACGAATGATTCATGCATGCAACTGCAGAATCTCTTCGCTGCATTCCTTACTGATTTACTCATTTTTGTTATGGCAACTAACAAAACGGTTAATCCATTTGTTGTATGAAAAATCTGACGAATTTGTGATTGCCATAACGGGCCTTGCTATAATTATAGTAAATGTTATTTATAGTACAAGATAAAACGTGAATATCATGGCATGAACGTAACAAAAAAATTGAAAATTGCTCACGTTTATGAATTGAAAATTGATGATAGACCATTTTTATCTAAATTTACATGTTCTTTGCAAATTAGTTGCTTTGATTTCTACATAAACAGTTAGACATTGCAATCTATTTGCTTTGTAGGTCATCAATGTTTCGTTGTAGACCGCAACGCTTGCGCTTGCCCACTTGTTAGCGCCTTGTGTATTTAGGCCAAAACGAGTATTGGCATTTGCCGATCTTGGCTTGTAAGTGCGCGGGCCAAGGGGTCAGCTTTTTTTCAATATACACACATATACTCACAGCATGTTTTTGTGTCGTATTCCACTTGATTTGCCATGCACTCACACACACACACACATGCACACACGCCCATGCACACGCACACATATGCGGGGAATTTGTTATTATTTTTATAAGATGTGCCCGAATGTAGGCTTGTACGCTTCTGTTATTACTGTGCACACACACACACAGTGTGTGCTGTGTGTGTTGTTCTTGCTCCAAATTAAGTTCAAACATTATTCGGGCACGCTTGTTTATTCCGCACGAGCAGGGGGAGGGGGGTGTGTGTGTGTGTGTGTGTGGGTTGGCAAACAAAGTGGCTTGTTTGTGTCACGTTTACGAGCACACGATCTCAATACCAGAAGGCAGCATTAGCTCTTCTGTTTTCTATTTTGTTTCTAGTCATTCGCTAGTGAAAGTATTTCAAAATGGATCGCATGACTTTGATTGTTTCCATTTGCTGTTCATAACACTATCTAACACTGGTCAACAAAGTGCGCTAAATGGTAATATAAATCAAATTTGCTTGGGCTTAAGGGTTTAGGGCTTCATTTGGAGCTGCATAACATTTTTGAATGTAGGGATATCTTCGGCACGCCGCAGACTTAATACCCTTGCTCGAAAGTTCGGAGTTTGTTGAAATATTTTGGAAAACCGATTATTTTGCTGATCTTTCCTCTAGCAGCTATATTATGTTGGGGTCCAAAGTTGATAGGTTTTTTTCAAACATATAGGGGCCATGGAAAATAGGGGGCGTGTCTAGGTCATCCATATACAAAGGAGCACCTGCAACAGTTCTTGGGGTTCCATTCCATTCCATTTTGGAATTTCCTTTTGTTTCGCATAGGTTTAAGAATCGCCTTTTGAGTAGATTTTCCTATTTTTCACTTGAAGGAATAAAGAAAATGCTTTTCCATTTGTCAAGTGAATTCTCGATCTAACAGCGCTATTTTCCGTAGAGTGCCTTACGGACTACGGCAAAGGTCAAAGAGCTTGTCGGCTTTTTTATTCTCTTGCTGATAAGCAAGAAGTGTGTGGCCTGCAATTGAATAGAATGTGTATTTAATTAGCTCAGAATGTGCCGCTAGTTACACACGATTCTTACGCATGCCTGTAAATACATAACCGCAGCCAGAACCGCAGCACATGGAACATGGAACATGGGAGCTGGGAGCCGGGAGCTGGGAGCTGGGGGCTGTGTGTGCCCTTGGCATGGGGGCCATTTGGAGTGTGCGGCATCTTTCAACTGCAGCGCCGGCATGCGAGTAACAATGCAGCCGCAACTGCTGCTGCTGTTGCCGTCATAACCTTTGCCGCGAGGCGCACAGGGTGTGCCGAGAATTTGCAGAGACACCAGCCGGCGGGGAGCTGGGCTAATTAAGTACATGGCAAATACTTGGAATGGCCCGTTGTGCCGGCAGCAGCAAATCGAAGCTGGCTAATGGGGGGCGGCCTGGACAGAGACTGGACTGGCCGGAAATATGCATGGCTTGGCCGGGTCGGGCCAGCAGCAGCAGCTCCAAATGGGCAAAAAAAAAAAATAAATTTGAATGCGCCCTGTCAGGAAGAATTGGGAGCTCTGTTGCCAACATAGCCCAGCGGCGTGTGCAGCCGACCACAAACAAAAAAAAAACCAAAAAAAAAAAACAAAAAAGCAAATTAATTCAGTTGCAATGTAGGCAAGTTTTCGTTATATTCCCCTTTGCTAAACACTCATGGGGTATTTGCATTTCGCAATCAATTTTGTGACGCATTGAAAGCGGCTTCTCGGCGTAAAGGCAAGCGGGCTGAAGCACAATACTATATCATAGGGCAGTTCTTGGATGCGTGTTGGTCTCAATAAAGTAAAAGTAAAATAAAGTAATAATATATATACAGATATACAGAGCTTGTTTCAAATCTGAGACATTCATTTTCCACCCATTTTCCGCCAGTGAACAATTTGAAATCCAACCGCATCTTTTTGAACTACATATTTGACTTCATATTTTACATAGATAATGGAAAATGAATAAAGAATCGCAAGATGGAATCAAAAGTTTGCCGTGGTGTGAAAATGAATCCTTCATGCATTCAACCTTTGACCTGCATTTATCAGCCAAGTAGAGTTAGTTTTGTGAAAAGTGTCGAAAACGTCTCAAAACAATTTTTACAATCATTTTTACAATGATATGTGAAAATGATTTTTAAGCAGATTGAATGGTTAGCACTGAAATTTTATACAACCGTTTTCCACGAATTTTTCACCCAAGCGGGTGGAATTTCCCAGAACCCTGTCTTTATTTGCAACTCCAGCAGCGCATCAACTTGATCAAAAATCAGTTTGTCAGGACCAGTAGAAATATATATATATATATATATATATATATATATCCGTATATCCATATATAGCTATATATAGAATAGCGCTGGTTCAAAGATATCTTTTAGATATTTTATATAGTTATATTTTATATATCTTTAAACCTTTTGCGGCAGTGCCAAGAGCAGGTTTAACGCTCGCTTGTACCTACAGTCTTATAGATTTGGATCGTTTGGATTATTACGGCATTACAGGGTATTAAGTCTTCGACCTGTCGTGCATTTTGCTTGTTGTTTTTTTTCGCCGTTTTGTTTGCTTTGTTCAGTGCATGAGTATTTCGCCAAGCGGATCACACACTGAACGCACACGGGTCAGCAACGGTGCCGGGTTCAGGTTCAGCTGACGACACTCCCGACCAACCTCGACAGTATATATATATTGTGTGTGTGCATATATGTACTCGGACGGGATATATCTGTATAATAGGCGTGACAAGCGCGTTACGCTCGGCTGGCGCCCAAAAATAATCAAAGACAAAGACGCTTTCGTAGATGACGATGTTGATAATGGGGCGGGCGGAGTGGGCGGAGCAGGAACTGTCTGTGCCAGACATAGCTATGATAATTACGCCGTGTTAGGCTACGAACTCCGGACATCGTTGTTGTTGTTGTTATTTGGCTGCCTAACGAGCAGCGACTTCTCAGCACCACCCATCTCCGAATTGTATCAGCTGGGGCACGTATAATGGGGCACAATATAATGAACGATAATATGGGCAGCATGAATTTTAGAAAGAGCGCCAAGAAATTTCGATTTACAAATGGGGTTGCGTGGGCCGAGAAAGCGTTTCCATTGTCTAAGTCAAAGCTCATAAAGGCACAGCTTGGCACTTTCCGTGGAATAAACTGGGTCTCGGGCTGTTGCAGTTTCAAATTATAAGTGCATTTCAGCTTTTGTATATTCCAGTTTTTGTTCAACCCATTTAGCTTCCTTTCGATATGACGTCATTCCAAATGTGCTGCACCCCATCGTAACATCATAATTTACGAGCCTATTGAGTTACACGATTTGATAATGCATTAATGAAAACCAATTGGGGTTGTTTTCTCAATATCTCTTTTCACAATACCTATACATACATATATTTATACAGATAATTATTACTTTTTACATATACATTTATATTACCATTAAAGATCAAAAAGATTAGTCCTAGCCTTGAATTAATACTGTGCTTAGCGCTCTTCTATACGATATTCATGTGCTTAAGCATTGCCCAGGGGATTTATATATTCCTATATATATATATATCTATGGCACGCACGGACCAGACAAATTTACTGATATTAATCTGAAGTATCTCTCTCCCTCTCTCTCTCTCTCTCTCTTTCACGCATTCGCCCTGTCTTTATTCTATATGGTCTCTTTCTTTCTCTCTCTTTGATTATTTTTCCAACTGCCGTTCTCTCTTTTCCTCTCGGTCTCAGCTTGCTTCTGTTACATTTTCACTCCTCTCTCTCTCTCTCTCTCTCTCTCTCGCTCTCTCTCTCTTTTATTTACTTTCTGTTTGTCTCTCACTTTTTTACTTACTCATTCACAGTCTTTCATATCGCCTTTCTATGCGATTTTCATGAATTCAAGTTATGTTCACAAGTTTGGAATAGAAAGGGAACTAGCTCAGGCGTTTTATACAAAGTGCTCAGATTTCAGCGAATGCTTGTGTGTACATTTTTTTGTACCTACATAAACACGTTTGTGTGTTGGTGTAATCGTATACTGTTTATAGGGTATTTCCTAGTCAAGCACATCAAGTTATTTGAGTATTTTTTCCGCCTCATTTCGAAAAATACGTCATTGCATGCGTTCTACTTAATGGAACTGATTATGATTGTTTTATGCTTTCTGGCAATTCGTCGGCTACTTCGAAGCCGCCAGTAAAAGCAAATTGTATCAATATAAATAGATACGCGATAATGGCCGATAATATTGTTGGTATAAATCCATTGTTCAGCTGAAGGATGCCCAGCACTTTGATTTCCAATTGCTGCGTTTGTAGCTGATTCAGAAAGGATTCCACCTGTTGCAAAAGAGTGCAGATAAAGTTTCTTATGTTTATACCCTGAAGCCCTTTTATATGGGTGAAAGGGTATAATGGTTTTGTGTAAATGTATGTAACAGGTATAAAGTATATATACTCATATTAACTCAAAACCTGGCTTGTCCGTGTGCATGAATGTCTTAATATCGGAGGGAAATGTAGTATGGAAACTTTTGTATAGTATTCAGAGATCCAGAACATTTTGGCTTTTGGATACCTCTCACTTTCCATCAAAATTGTGAGAAAAAAACGTATCTCTGGAGGTACAAGACTTTGATATCTACACTTAATTGAATGTGCACTGAAATCGATCGGACAATAAGCTCCGATTCTGATTGTAATGACAGACTGACCTTGGGCTTAGGGTATTCCCTAGTCGGACACTTCCGACTGGAGCATATATAAGACTTACGCTCTTGTCCCATCGCTGGTCAATGTCGGTGCAGACGATATCCAGCGGCAAGATCTGTGGCATCTGTGATTTCTTGATTGTGAAATCCGCGCACATGATCAAGAGCACAATGTTGGCCATCTTAATGCAGACCATCAAGATGGGCACCAGTTCGCCCTGCGCAGCCTCCAGATAGTTCAAAATGTACTCGTACAGCATTAGCAGCAAGACAATAAAATTGTAATAAATATAGAATAAGATCTGCCATTGGAAAATGCTCCGGAACGAGAGCGTCACGTTATACAGCTCGTTATAGATGACACCACAGGCCTCCAGTTCATCGGCCCGATCGCAGAGCAGACACATGCGCTTATAATGGCTGAGGGGCACATGGGAATACGACTCGTATTCGGATTCGGATTCGTCATCCGACTGCAGCTCCTGGCCATCGATGTCAATGGAGCGCATTTGCCGCAGCATCGTCGCAATGTGCGCGCCCATGTGCTCGTAGAGCAGGCCGGAGACGAAGAAGCCCAGGAAACAGGCGTCCAGCAGGAAGAGCGTGCCCAGCCACAGGTAAATGGCAATCAGGCCGCCGATCACCTGACCAATCTCCAGATGGATTATGTGCTCCAGCGGCAGCAGCTGCGGCACCTCGTAGAGGCAACCGGCGAGCGTTAAAAGCAGCTTCAGAGCCGTGAATACGGTGAACTTGAGCGGCAGCAGCTGTTGGGTCCGGGTCAGCGCACAGATGTGTCCATAGAGCGCAATATAGCGATTCAGTATGGCCATAAATCGGGACTCGGCGCGCACCTGCATGATGAAGGAGCCGACCGCAAAGACGGTCACCGAGCCGGACTGCATCATGGCAATCAGAGCTGCGTAGCTTTGGCTACTCTTCACGGATCTAAACATGCTCGGAATCATGGTCCAGTATATGTTAACCAATATGGCGCGCCACAATATGATCAACAGCCGATTGCACTGCTGTCGCGGCGCCTTCAGCTGCACCGGCTCCCGCTCCAGATCCAGCGAACTGGACAACAGCGACAATCCGCGCGCCGCTTGGTAAAGCGCCAGCAGGAGCCGGCGCGAACTTAGCTCCACGCGACCAACTGCTGCGGCTTGTGGCTTGTGCTTGGTCATGGCCAGACATGGACTGAAAATGTCTGTACTGGTTGTCCCATGTCCTGCCCGCTGACAGGGCACAAGCTTCAAAGGGCCGGTGGAGCTGTACAGTTGTTGCTGTTGTTGATTTTATTAATTGAATGTGTCTAGATATCGGCAATTGCGTTTCACGCTTCGCTGAGTGCCTCGCTGACTGATTAGCCGAGCCCGGAGCTGGACACGGAGACGGAGACGGACACGGAGACGGAGACGGAGCCCAGCGCGATACGAGCATACCCGCCCGTTGATGGACAGGGCGAGCAGTGCCCGCTGCCCCCCCCCCCCCCCTTTGACCCACATGGAACGCACATTGGAACAGATGTTGCTCAAAATAGGGCGTAAAATGATATTTCGATATTTCTATTTTCGCTGCGAACTGTTTGCCTTTCGACGAAACTGAAGACTTGCCTAATTGTATCCAAAGGCGTGTATTATAATTTGCATTCAGGTAAATATAACTTTCTTATATTTATTATTAAAATGTATTTTTTATATTTTTGCTAAGATCTATATTCTCTTCAGGCATTGTAGAAAAAAGAATAATCTATCTACAAGATACATTTGCTGCAGTATATTTAATACATATTTTATATATGCATGTTATTACAGACTGGATCCTTAGATAGGATGGCAGCCCAGCTGAGCGCAAGACAGTTGAGATTGGAGAAGTTTTCACAATTAAGGAATGTGAGGAATGTGGAAATTCGCTTTCATGGCATATCTATCGTCTGGATGTAAGTGAAAAGTTTTGCCTGATAACCTGGCCCTTACTCTAACTCGACTTCAGATATCGTAATCTACGTGCTGGTGAGTTTTGACCCGAAAATAGAGTCCAGTCCTCTCTCAACATTTTACGAAAATAATTCAATTCGCGTATGATTGATATTGAAACTTGGTATAATAAGTATTTGTCAATTAATATTACATTTTATTCGATTTTATTTTTGATTTTTCAACAATTTTGACATACTGATTAAATTTTATATACAGATAAGTACTTACTGAATCAGAGATCCGGGAATTGGTTATTCTTTTTGATTATTACCATTATAAATATGGCTTCTGGTAAAATGTCGCTAAGTGTCATACATTTTAAAATGGGCAGACAACAGAGTATAACTCCGACCCCATAAGGTGTATGCATATATTCTTGATCAGGATCAGTTCTGTCTTTCTGTCGATATCGAAAGCTACTTAAGCTGGAGACTTGAATTCTATATCGATAATAATCGATTTGAGACTCGGTTTTTAAGCATACCCCAACATCTATAATGGTTAGATATAGCAAAATCTAGTACATTTCCCATTTTAGTTACCTGCCGCATTCTTCAGAATGGAGAAATCTTTCTTTCTGGTATCTACACACATTTGGATGGCATAGATCGGATCATCTTTCCAGAATATATTTCCCATAATTTGAATAAAAGTAAAAAAGTAGAGTTTGGGTTGGGTTTACTGTTCCGTATCCGTAGAATAGGAATAAATTAGATAATTAGTTAGAAAAGTAATTAGCTGCATCTCGCTTCAGGGTATCCCTAGTCGGGCATGCCCGGCTTGAGTACTTCGACTTGTTCAATATGAATTTCCTAACAATTTCAATTCACTTGCAAGCAATTATAAAGGGCCGATTGTTGTTGACGTTAGTTGCCGTTGTTGTTGTTGTTGTTGTTGTTGTTGTTGCACTCCCACAGTTGCGAGTTGCCAAACACGTTTGCTGGACATTAGAATGTGACGCGGTTCAACGAACTGCCGCAAAGAGCATTATCCAGCTGGAGGAGGAAGTGTTGTATGCCCAAAGACGGGCAATAGAAATAACAAAGTCAATAGCCTTTAAGTTGCTGCCACAACAAGCCAGAACGACAACAACAACAACGAGAACAACAACAACAACGACAACAACAACGAGAACAACAACAACAATCAGCAACAGGTCTAGGCTGGATGTTGTTGCTCCTGGCCCGATCATTGCCGCTGACAACGCTGCGGCAAGCAGGCGTGCAACAAGCCCTGCCACATAACTGGTTTTTCCGATGAAGCCAAAGCCAAAGCCTGGCCTAGCCTAGGCCCGGCCATAGATAGATAGATAGTAGACTCAACTGCAGTACAGCATCCTGCTGCAACTGCAACTGCAACCAGTTTACGTACAGTCCGACGTCCGATGCCCGACTCTCGACTTTCCACTATTCATCGCGTCCGTGTTATTGCAGCCCAAGTACATGAAGTAATTGCATGGAGCAGGCCTGACCCCAGCCGTGATGCTGCTGCTGCTGCTGCTGCTGCTGCAGCTGGGGCTCCATCAACTGTTGGCCGGGGCCGGGCAATGAACTGCCACTGAAAAGACAATAGGAGCCGGGCCGCAGCTCAAGCACTTGCCCGGTGGTGGGCCAAAGCGGGGCGGGGCGGGGCAGGCTGAGGCCATCTGCTGGAGCCAGTGTTGTATTGCTAAATTGGAAATAATTGCAGAGACGCAGCAGCAGCAGCAGCAGAATGCACGTGTGCAGCTCTTGTTGTTGTTGTTGTTGTTGTTGCTGTTATCGTTGTCATCAGTTGCTGTTGTTGTTGCTGTGGTTGTTTTTCTACTATGACATAAAATACGAGACAAGAGCTGAACGAGCTGCAGCAGGCATGGATAATATGAGCAGAATCAGAGACAAGCAACAACAACAACAACAACAACAACAACAACATGCGGAAAATGCTTGCGAATAATAACAACAATAATAAAGTTGTGCGCAATGCCAACTACAACAACAACAACAACAGCAAGAACAACATAAAGGAACAAGTTCAACGACATTAGGAGATTAGAGAGCATTCACAATACGCAACAACAACAAGAACACCAGTAACATGCACATTTGAATGCGCGCCTATGTGTGCGTGCATGCATGTGTGTGTGTCAGCGAGAGATTCATCGAAGCACTCTGACGTCGACGTCGCTGTCGACGCATGAAAAAAAACAACAAAAAAAAAGTCAACGACATCATATGGATTTTCGTTAAGTTGAATGACAGGGTGGGGCGGTGAGGGGCAGCGTTTGCAGGAGCTGCTTGCATATAACAGTCTGTTATTAACAGCAGAACAGAGAAGAAAATAAAAACACAACGAAAAAAAAAAATGAAGAAGTATTGTAAGAACGCAGTCGGGGACAGGAAAATGTTTTTCATTGTGTTGCTTTGGAAAAGCTGACTGACGGGCGGACGCAGCAGGCATCGGAGTCATTAGAGTTGCGGGAGACATGCCCCATGCGTTTGCATAAACAACAACAACAGCAACAACAAAGTCAGGCCATGCAAATGATGCGCTCTGTCTGCCTGTTGCGACGTGATCCATGGGGGCCGGGCCGGGCCGGGTCGGGGCCGGGTGTCGCCACCCCAAAGGCAGCTTCACATTTTGGCGTGTGTTGCATAAAATGCCGCACTCGGCTGCGCTGTCGTCTTGCTATTTACAGATACAAAAGATGCAACCCCTACATAGCTCAGCTGAGAGGCGGCCTGGCATTTGCTTGCGTTTAATTTGGATATTTCATTACGATCAAGATGCGGCAGCCGAGGAAATCAGAGACTCAAAAGCGACGTCTGGGCGGGGCTATGGGGAAAACTTGCAAAGAAAGTCGACTGCTGAATGCTCTCAGACTCAGACTCGACTTAGGCAGGTGCTGCTTACCTTAGACAGCTTAGTAAATATTATATTTTTTAGAAAATATATATATTAAACTAAGCTATACTTCAATTTTGAGACAAATTCTGATTTCTTTCACAATTAAAAGATAAGGCCTCTAAAAAATGTATAAATTTAAACTCATCTTCGTGTATTTTTGAAGAGTTTATAAATAATTAATAGATTTTTTTTTGTTTTTGTACATTCAGAATGTTGAAGACACACACAAGAAAGTAATAAAAGCAAGCCAATAAATTCTAATTATTAATCAATATGGGATAGTATGTTACAGGTAGAGTAAAGAATCCCCGGGGAAATGGAGTATATGTAATTAAGGACTCGATCTAGTCATGTCTGCCTGTGTCCATACGATCTCGGAAACTAAAGTAGCCAGAGACTTGAATGTACAAATATATGCTCTCATAAAACTATATTATACGCATATCATATCATTTTCATAATGGTTAAGGTTGGGTATAGGGTATCTCCAAGTCGGCTACACACTTGATGATGAGTCTTACAACTGTTAAATAAAAAATAAACTTATATTTGTCCTTGTTCTATTTACGTCTATAGCTATTCCTCTATTCATTTCATTAGAGTATTACATAGAGGCAAGCTCTGTAAGGAATTCGTTATGGCCAACTGGTTAGGGTATAATTAGAGAATCTGCGGCGGCGGCGGCTGCTCAATTTGATTAGGTTTTCAAAATCAATTCCCAAAGTCAATTCTTATTTGTTTTACCGCCTTTGTGAGAAAATAAACACGGACCAGCCGCAGACGCTGCAGCTCGATCTCGGATGCTGGTTATTGGAACTGAGGGGTGGGGCACGGGAAGGGGCAGGGGGATTGGGACTGGGATTGAGACTGGGCCTTTCTTTCAATGCGTCTCGCCTTTGTTTGTTATCACTTGGAGTTTGAGCATTTTTACGAATTGATTAAGGCGACGTTTGTTTACAAGCAGGTAAACAGAAAGTGCTGCGAGTGGGAGAGAGCGAGAGAGAGCGAGAGAGAGAGGGAGTGAGAGGGAGAGAGAGAGGGAGAGAGCCGGCAAACTTTCCGTTTAAATGCTTTTACAGTTGAATTGCAAACATGTTCTGGACGGTCGTAAAGTTGCCCCCGTCTCCGCCTGCGTCTCGTCCCGTCTCGTCTCTGTGCTCATTAAGCAAAGCATGACGAATAACTGCAGCGTCGACGTCGACGTTGACGTTGACGTTAGCACACCTGACAATTTGTTAATGAGAGCAACAGCAACAGGTTCAGCGACGCGGCAGGAAGCGAAGCGATAAAACCGAAAACCAAAGCAAGCGCAACCGGGATGGGATGATGACGGATGTCCTGCTAAAGAGAACCCAAACCAGAACCAGATCCGCAGTCAGAGAAAAATACAAAAAAAAAATAAAAAAAATTATGTATGTAAATAATGCAAAACATTTTCTCACCACGTTCCGCTGGCGGCGCACTTTTTAGGCTTCCCCCCTCGCCCCGCCCGTTGCCGGATGGGGAAGGGCCACGGTCGAAGCTTGCATGGGAAATGATATGTAAAAAAATGCAACAACAAAAAAAGCAAGAGAATAAAAAGCAAGAAAAAGCGAGAAAAACTATGCACAACTAATGTGTGTGAAGATCTGTGTGCTTTCTAAGCGAGTATCTATGTGAGTGTGAGGGTTTTTTTTTAAATTTTGTTGAGCCGCGGCATGACATGGCCAAATATCAGCATAAACATAAATATATATATATATATCTTGAACCAAAACAACATATGGCCAAGTCGGGAGATGACCTTTTTACCACGTCCACACACATACATACGCATATATGCATACTTGGCCCAGCCCATTTGTAGTGAAATTTAATCAAGCGTTTAATGCCAAGGTGGAACGTCGAGGAACATAATACACAACACGGGCTGGCAGGGCGAGGGCGTTTTGTGACTCGCTTCTACTGAAGCTGATGCTGAACCAGAAACATAAACCAGACGCTGTCTGGACTGATCTCCAGCATGTTGGGCCTGGGGTTGGTTGGGTCTGTGCCCGCTTTTGATGCCTGTCAGATGTCAGTCTGGGCGCGTTTGTCTGTCTCTCACCTAGCGAGGCTGGTTAATGACATTTTGAGTTAATTGCTGCCGCTGCCAGATGGGCCAGGGTCGGGCTCGGGTACGGTAAATAAATATGATGTCCTTCTTCCAGGCAACGTAATTTGACTAATGCTGAGCCTGGCAACTGATCAAATTGGGGGCGGGCCTTGATCAGTTCCCGTTGATCCGTTAACATCGGATCGAACATTAAGTAAAAAGTTTGTTTTTGAAACATGAGAACTTCAGTTACTTGCACGTGCTTCAATTTACCTGACAATCTGTGCATTTACCTTGTAACTGATGACCTTTTGTTTTTTAACATAAACTTTCTAAATGCAATTCAAGCTTGTCATAAGACGAAACCTAAATCGTTTATCGAAAATTAACTCGAAAGTAATTTAACTAAATTTTTATCTAAATGTTTTGTGCTTAAAACTGAGTTTCTGCTTTCAAATCAATTTCGATTAAGGATTACTCTTTATATATAGCTAGATCGATATTTAGTAAAAATCTGACAACGCTGCGAGATGAAGAACATCAATACATTTGATTCCGAAGAATTTTCTAGATTTCGGAGTCGATTTAAGGTTAGTCAATCCAGATCAATATTCAAAAGTTTGTTCGGAATCGAAAGAAAGTTCATCAAACAATTCGAATTCAAAAAGCTTGATCGGAAACGAAAGACAAATTCAACAATCTATTACGATTTCGAAAATTTGGATCGCATTCAAAATACAATTCCGAAAAGTTTGATTGGTATGGAAATCTAGAACACGGAATATTATTTATATCTTGTTTTAAGTGTAAACTTATTAAACCAAAGGTTATTAACGGGCTTTGCTAGGGCAAAGTATTTCTGGACCCAATTTATATTCTTTAAATAATAGACGTTAGCTTTCTACCAATATCTGTACTAGCCAATCTATGTATAACTTCTTATGTCACAGATATATCTAAAGATTCCTTTTAAGCAAAAAGCTGCATTAAAATCCATTCATTTTTGATTTATGCTATATTAAATTAAAATTTGCAGCTTGGAAATTAATCTAGAATTCAAAAATGAACTTCTTTGACTTCGAATACTAAGGTCTAACTTATGTAATGTTAATCTTAACATATAACAGTGCATGTTACATAATTTGAAAATGTTAACAGGGGATATATGAGAAACTGTTGGGATTAGTACGAGATTATGCCTTGGCTCATTTGGCGCGCTTTTTTCGATATTTGTTTTTGCTGTCGTGTGGCAGCAGCAGCAGCAGCTAGTTACAGGTAAGGTCCTAGGGGCAGCTACAACAATAGCAGCAAGTGGGCAGGTACGCTGCGGCAGCAGGCGAAGGCAGCAGCAGAGGCGCTGCGTAGGACGATAAAGCAAAAAAAAAAAAAAAAAAACAAAATATATATATATATTGGCAGCAAACCAGTTTTTATAATGTCAATTCGAATCCTACACGTTCGCGTCCATGTCCAATCCACACGCATTAAGCGCGACAGTCGCAAGTCGCGACGCGTCCAAATAATGACGACAATGCCAGCGCAGGCAGCGGGCAGCGGGCAGCG